ATATAAAATATAATACATATTTATAAAAAAAATATTACTTGCTATCCTGTTTTTCTGAACAGCCTGGCTCTGAATGGCTTTTATTAGTTTGTGCTTTATCTTACAGTCCCATGAAAATTTTTGCCAGATCTGAAACTAGGTTTCCGTTTTAAATAATTTCTTTCAAATCAAATCAATCTTTCTCTGAAGTGATTGAAATAATGTTTATACATGATGAGAACCATTAATTTATAACATGAAACCTGGACACGTGTAACAGTGATGTATTTTCATAAAGGTGTTTTTCTGTATTGTTTGAAGATGTGTCTGCCAAGTGAGGGCAGGACGAGGCTATGAAGTAAGCGTGCGTATCTGTACACACCTTTTGTGTGGAAAGCTATGATCACTGGTCAGAAAAAAATTTGGAAAAGTATTCCTTTTCTTGTCAGATACAAAGACCTACAGTAAAACTTGATTCAATAGAGCAGATGATGGAGACAAACACATTTCCCATGACTCTGATCAGTACTGATGCTCCTACGCATGATGATGTTTTTCTTATGAAAGTCTGTGAATCTGTGCTTTGTGTAGCACATTCACATAGGCAAAGGGCGACTGAGAGTCTGATGAAATGCATTATTTTGCTTTGGTGTAGCAGTGGGACTCTGACTCAAGTAAGCACCGCAGCCCAGAAATCTACCAGCAGAACAGGCTGTTCCTTCATCCAGTGACTGAATTTGCACATGCCAGCATGGCTTTTGAAACCTCTCACAGATGTTATGTAGCGGTAAATTGGACAAGAAGTGATGGAAAGTCCCGTAGTTGACTCCCAGTGAACTGATGGTTTCTGACAGCATCCATTCACCGAGCTTTAAATTGATCGGTTCGTTTGTTCACACGCTGCTGATAACAGGCATGAAAGACACCTGAGAGAGGACAGAGAGAGAGTCTGTGAGCACAGCATGCAGGCGAATTTGCTGTATTGCTTTTTACATGTTGGTTGAATTTGTACCTTTATTGATTTTAAGGATTTCAGCTGTACTGTGCCACAGTCAGGCAGTACTGCCTGGGCCTGCTGTCTGCCTCGCTCTTTGTGCTGAAGGCTACAGCGAGGACCTGCCGCCACAGGAGGCGGCTGCTGTCTCCATTTGTAATCCCTTCACTAACGTGCTGTTGGTATCTGTGAGGGGACTTACTGCACTTGTATCAAAACTTCATCGTGTTTTTATCCCACCAGGCACGTCAGTGCATGCATGCAACTAGTTTGGAGTTCACTACAATTAGTTAGCGCATTTTTATGTCTTTACCCAGTGGAGCCTTTGTACTGCCCATCCTTGAAATACCCATGCATTTCAGTGTAGTATTTGTAATTTGTAATCTATGTTTGTGGATTACGTTGTAATGTAGCCTTCTCCACATCTCAGGCAGGTATCTGGAGTGACAGAGATCCCAGAGTGCCCAGAGCTGAATACGACTTGCTGTGATGCTGATGAAATCAGCTGAGATGAATTGGGATATTTACATGAAAATGACCATTGCTTCCACTACTTCCAGGAGTAAAAAGAATAAATCTGCAAAAAACATGAAAGACCAGCTCTAATGTGCTCCCTTCTGCACTTCTTTACAGGCAAATCCGTGACACTGTACACTGGATGTTCAGTGAACCAATGCTTGTTTACTACATTGGTGTGTTTCGAGATGCTTTTTGGCCAAATGGAAAGTTAGCGCCACCACCGAGAGCCAAGAGCGATGAACAACAGCAGGAGACAAAACAGAGAGCACAGCAAAAACTACTTGAAAACATTCCAGGTGAGATCACTTTCATTCTGCTTAATCACAGATTTAATAAGTAGTAAGGAGATTGGTTAATCAAATACTGTTCTACTGCATTTTAGGTTTTTCCTGTAGAGTTGTAAATTACAGTTATTTGCATAAGTAAGGATAACTTTGGCTTTATTCTTTGCCTCTCCTGTCGATGTCTGGTAAAGGGCATGGATTCGCTTATTATTGATGGATGCAAAATCCAGTATCGCTGTACTTCTGTCTGTAATATTCATCAAGGAACCTAAGTTAAGTCAAGGCTCTCTCTGCTGGTTCTCTGTGAGCAAATCCCAGGTGGTTCTGCTACCTGGAACTCCTTGACAAATAGGGAGGGTGGCACCACCCCAATTACTTATTCTTCTTATATTTCAAAATCAAAGAGGGAGATCTACCCATGCTGTCAGTGCTGTGTGTTGCTGTCTGTTTCTGATAAGAGGCTTCAGGGCACTGAGTGTTACAGGGACCTGCAGCCAGGACAGAAGCGTCCTAGGTTGAGTGGGGTTTCCAGTACTTTCCTTTGCCTGCCCTCCCCTCCCAAGCCTCAGCACGGTGCCCCAGAAGCGTTGTGTTCCATCCCGTCCCGTATGCAGTGCAGGGAGTCCAGTTACCTACCTCTGACTCTTCAGAGATTGCATAAACCCAAAGGCACCTAACGGAGAAGAACCCAAATCATTCCCTTTAGCCTTTGGAAATGCACTTGAATAGCTTGAATGCTTTTTATCTCCCCTCCAGCTGAACAGAGTGTACTTTAACAGAGCTATTTTATAGTTTCACTGAGATATCTCACGTACCCCCTTGCTTTAGGTGGTTTAATCAACTTTTACTGCAAAAACAGGAGCAGGTATGCATGCAAAATATTTGTCATTTGATGTGTAAACAGCCCTCCATTTACTGTCTCTGTTATATACTCACCTACTTGCCTAGAACAGCCTTCCACAGTTCGCTTGTGGTTTTGTTTGTTACTGAGTTTGGAGAGGTATGTCAGGATGTAGCTGAATGCACTTTAAATTAATGATGAAGCATTTGATCACTTAGAATTCTCTTACCTGCTTACTTGTGGGAAGTATTTTCTGTGGAGATTGAGAGGCAATTAAATTGGTAAATGGCTTTTAACTGTTGTAGGAATTGCACCTTTGCAGCTGAAGGTGCATTTAAGTGCATGGTTTAATAATGTATGCGATCAGACTTGACTCTGTGAGGTGAACTACCTTAAAGGCATGCTATATATCATGTTAAAACACTTAAAATGTTGAGATGCTTACGCTGCTATTATTCAACTTGAGTAACTTGAGAGTAAGGGTATCTTTTCAACCTGTGACCTAGGTTACCTGTGTGTTTTTAAAAGGTTGGTGAATGGGGACGATGTATCTTGTAACCGAGGGCCATGAAGTGCAGTGGATTTTGTTTCCCCTCCTTTATGGGTGGTAGCCTTAGCTGGAGGTTTTGCCTGGCATGAGTGGAACAATGTCAGCTGAAGTAATGTTTGTTGCAGATACTCTGCAGAGTCTTGTGGGACAACAAAATGCCCGTCACGGTGTAGTGAAAGTGTTCAACGCATTGCAAGAAAGAAAGGCTAACAAGCATCTACTCTATGTGAGTAACCAGAAAAGTAGCCTTTTAACTTTATAATCCTGTTAATTGCCGAGCTCTGCTCACTCAGTATTAAAGCCTGGGGGGTGTGTTTTTGCAGAGATTTATGTTGGACTGTTGTTGTGTGTGCAAGTAACTTCTGTGGTTATTAAAATAATTCAGAAAAAATGTACTTGGTTCCATCATTTGACTAATTTTGAATAACAAAAAGCTGCTTACGTTTGAAAAAAAAAAGTATTGCTTTTGTCTAAAAGAGATCCTCTACCACATCCAACTTGCCTGACTTCATGAAGCACAAAATTAATTTCTTTGTATAGCTGAGGCAAATCGACATACGTTGGAGAATCCTAGGGAAGGAGAGCTCCAGGACTGGCTCACAGTTAGGACACAACAGCCCTCCAAAAGTCCCAGACCTCTACTGTGGGCTGGGACCGGTCGGAGTATGCAGCTGGATTAAAGTAAAACACCTTCGCCCTCAGTCAGTCTCTTCTGGCTCCTTTCCTGCAGCAGCCGGTCATGGAACACAGCCTTGGCAGCCTGCTCAGGAGCTGCGTGCCTGGGTGCTTATGTAGCTACCGCGGCTTCCTCGGAACAGCCCTGTTTTATACAGGGTGGGAAAGCCCCACCGGAAAGTGGCCACCACCCGTGGCACTGGCCTTCTTTCAGCCTGAAGACGTTTCCCACGTCAGCTGTGGGGTGCCTGCTAACTGTAGGAGGAAAGAAAAGTAGTTGCATGAATGATGAATAGAACAACTCTACGTGTTTCTGTTACCTGTGGTGCTCTAAACATGACAGAAAGGAAAAAGAAATTCTGACTTGGCACCTGCGCTCATCTTAACTCTTTTCTGTTTTTCAGGTTTTGCTGGAACTGCTGCTAACTGAACTGTGTCCTGAGCTCAGAGCTCATTTAGAGCAGCTTAATGCCGCTTAGGTTTGGATCTGCACAATTGGACCACTAGAGAAATGTCTATGTCCAAGAATAGACATGAAACTTATTTTCCTCTTTTCCATAGAGGGCTGAGGACTATGATTATTTTTAGCGTTTTTCTTTCCTCTTGAGTTTTTTGTGAAGTAAACAGACTTGAAAAGATCTGATGCTGTAGTAGGGTAGAGAAAACAATGCTGTATAGTTGCCAGTTTTTATTTAAATTGTTCTATTTGACTACTCTTCTGTTTCAAATATAGATTGAAAAATAAATGTTCATATAAGCTGAAAGAAACCAGAAAATATTTTAAACATTTATTAAAAGAAATTTTGCTTATAGTGGTAAACTAATGAATGTTGTACAGTTCTAATCTCCTCACTGAGGACTTGAGCATTCCTTTTTTCTTGTGTATTGGAAAAGCCTTGTTGTGCAATACTACATGTAAAGCTCTTGTGAAAATTTTATCAGTTTTGTTTTTACCAAAGATTTCCCGTAGTTTGAAGCATTTGTAAGCAATAAATAACACAACTGGATCGCAGTACCTGGTAATGAGGCTGTAGTGACAACTAAGGAATGAGTTTGACAGCACTGGTTTCGTAAGGAATATTTACCGTTACTTTGAAGTCTGTGTCAAAAATATGTGTTGTAAACCGGTATGTCCTAACAGAATGCCTGTGTTAAATGTTAGTTCAGAGATTAGTGCTTATGAATTGCTTCTATGAATGATTAAGTAGACATTTAATTAAACCATTCTAATAACTTCCCTGATATTACTCAGGGCTGTTTTATTCAAATACCCAGTTTCAAACAACCTTCAAATCTTTTGCTTATTTTATACAAGGAAAGAAAACTTACGTCTTCAGTGGTTTTTTTAATTTATGTAAAATTATGTAAATACGGTCTTAATGCACATCTAAATAATTAAACATCATCAAAAATCCCTAGGTGATACTCATTACTTTCTTTTGAATTCTGTATAGTTGTGCTCTTAGAAAAACTGCTTGCAGTTAAAACTGGCTAGATTGTAAGGTACGTAAAATCCGTATGCTGTACTTAAATCCATGTTTTTAGTCACATCTAGCCTTCTGTTCCAACAGTTTCAAAACAGTTTTCAAGTCACGGCACAGTCCTGGGAAGCAAGCCAAATTCTGCACATACAGAGTTTTACAAGTAAAGAGCTATTGAGAAATGTGCAAGTTTACCATAGCAGTCAGTAAAACTTACTAGTGGTTAATCAAAGTATCTTCTGATAAAAGATTCAGCGTATCATTGCTCAGGCATACACGCTCCTAGCCAAAAGGTTTTCAGCTATTTCTAATACAGACAGAGGCAGCATAAATGCAATATGAAGGACTGAGGAGAACAGGCCTCGTGCAGAAGACGTGTACAGTGAATGTTTCCATACTAATGTCGTGGTGTGTTTTTTTTTTCTCCGTAGTTCTGTAAGTAGTATTTTCTAGTTTTACAAGCTGACATGGTTTGAAGTGTAAAGCTTAGTGTCATACAGGCCAATTTCCAACTTTCAGTCTCTGCAGTCTGAGAGAAAAATGTGTTAAGATGCCTAAGTAGATCTGGATGCATTAGAAAAGCCTGTGAAAGAAAGTATACACACCGCTAACAAAGGTAAGATTTAAAAATGGTTGTGAGCTGTGAATGGGTTGTATGTGAAAACTAGACAAGTTTGGGTTCAAGCAAGCTTTTCCGAATATTAAAATTTAATATTTAAATACTGAAGATGCAGAAAAGGAAAGAACCGTTTTTACTTGGTTTGGGTTTGATTCATGTGCTAGATAGCGGTATGACATGAAGAAAACACAGGCCATCTGTCCCAGTAAAATGTCCTTAATAAACCTGAAGTCTTCAATACCATTTTAAAAAGTCTGCCTTTGCCTCGTCTCCGTTAAAGAAAAAGTGTGAGCTTTTTGCTTTCTCCTTTTTTTGGATAAAAAAGAATCAGTAAATTGCTTTAAATAATAATTTACAGAAAGTTGAAAAGCAAGCAGTAAATGAAGAACAGTCTATAATTGCTGGAGATTAAAGATGTTTTATTGTAGGAAATGCATCTATATACCAGTCACAGTTAAAGGAAACACTAAATTCTCCCAAGATTAGCTGCCAGTTCAAGGTCAGAAGCAACACCAGGATCCAGAAGGCATGCCTTTGAAAACAAAGAACAGAGACATCTAGTTTATACCTCAAATAAATTGTATGTTGTCGATATAACATTAATAAGGTCTTTAAGTTTTGTTGACATTATCTGAGATAATCAACTTGTTAAAATGTTAAAGAGTTAATATATTCAGCTTTAAATCCCTGTTTCTGATGCCACATAAGAAAAGTTCAGCATTTAAAATGAGCCTACTTGACTATAGCGTTAGGCTTGGTTTTGGTTTTTTATTCTGTTTGTTGGTACGGCATGTGCTGGCACCACAGTCAGAAACACAAATCTCCTTGCAGGCTGGATCAGTTTCTTTCACTTCCGTCATCCATTTCTGTACCTTCTGGGACGCCCATCTTCTCTTTCTCACCTCTTTCAAAACTAAGAATGGTAGGCCAAAACCACAGCTGAGCAGTTAATTAAAAAAGCAAACATGTTTTGTTTTTTTTTTTAAGTGGGTATAATTGTACAGCTAACATGAGAATTATTTTTCAGGTACAAAAGAAGCTGAACACACCCACAACTCTTGTCTTTAACTTTTTCTAAAGCTACTGCTTCAGGTAGCTTCCTTGTTTCTGTCCCTTCTCTTTTGTTGTTGATGCAGAGATGCATGGCACCTGTCAATAGAAATCATCCCTCTTTATCCTAAGAAGCTGGTGATGTTCCTAGATCAGTCTCAGACGTACAGCTAGCGAATGATGAGTGAAAGCTGTAATTTTCTTTCAGTTGCAGTGGTTACACTAAACCTGATGGAAGACAGTGGGAAGGGCTGTACTCACAAAGCCATGCATCAGTTAAATACTGATGGGCCTCTTCCGTGCCTGAAGACTTACCTAGGACTACTGGCTACAACGCCCCAGCTTGTATTCCTTTGCTGGTCTCCGCCTCAGCCTCTCCTCTGTAACACTTTTCACAGCAGGAGAACAAGATGTTTAAAATGTGCATATCGAGAGGATCACCTGCTCTGCCTAGGCCTCTTGTATCAGTGGCTTCCCTGAGTTAAGGAGCCATAAAAATTGTTATTTGATAACTTGTCGTTTACATAACTCTGCATTTATTTGTATTGCACCAAGCTGGACATCGAGGTACTTTACTGGCAGAAGCAAATGGTCTGTACGTGCACAGAAATCATGGAGTCTCTCTGAAGCACAGATCCAACCTTGCTACTCTCCCTTCAGTTGGAATAATTGTCTTGCCTTGACTGTACCTGTAGGCATCACGAATACTATTTAGCAGATTTGTCTTCTAGAAGCCGTTATCGATTTTTTTTTTTTCCTCAAGCAATAACTCTTACCTCAACTTCAGAACTTTCAAAAAATGTGACCTGATTTTTTACCCTGTGTATCAGTAATAGTAGATCCTCAGCTTTCACTAAAAATGTAAACATAGAAATAAGCATGACAACCAGTTATGCCTGATTTAAGTATCGTTCATGAAGGTTGTAATTGTTAGAGAATCTGAAGTAGAGGAAAAGTTATGATTTATCGAGTTTGAGAGAAGATGGCAAATCAATTGGGGATAAAATTACTGAAATGGTTTAGCTAATTTATCTTGCAAGTTACCAGGCTCTTCGCTGTGGTGATTATCAGATATTTTTTTTTTTTGATTGGCAGAATGTGGTGTTTGCTTAAGGAAGTGGGCAGATACTATCCTGTCAAGACTATTTTTAGTAGTTTTCAATATACTTCTATTACTCCTCATTTTCTTGCACAGATTTTTTTTTTTTTTAACATAAATGATGTTGGAGTCTTTAACCAAATGGCATTTAAAGACTCTCAGATCCAAGTTATCACTCAATTTCATGAGGTCTAAATTAGTCAGACTTTCCCAACTTAGAATAGTATTTTTTAGCAGCGGCTTGATCTTGCTGTATGCCTACGCCACGCTGGAGGCACCTAGCCAAGTAGAAAGCAGCCATAGCAGCCCCCTTGGCTACAGATGTAGGAAGACCATCGGTTGTCTTTGCTACCATATCAATGTCATCATTTTCTGTGATCCTGTTGAAGAATTTACAGCATGAGGTTAGATAAGGCTCTTTCAAGCAGTAATTTAAGCCGACTGTATATATGACTTGTCAATGCCTCCTTTCCATTCACATCATTATCCAAAATAAGCTGAAATGTCCATGTGTTCAGCAGCCTGATGAGGATTCTTCTGTTCAGTATTTGATTTGACGTTAGTCTTATTTGAATATTGTGATATTAAATAGCAAACAAATACCTAACTTTTGCAGTCACTTTCACTATAGTTATACTAGTTATAAAAAGCAGCATGTTTTATGCTAATTGTGCCTATTAAAATATTTCATGGAAATTAATACGTGTGCAGAAGAAAGACAGAGCTCTTATTTCATATAATTGTGCAACCTGGTCTGGTGGAAGATGTCCCTGCCCCCAGCAGATAGGCCCTGCCATCCCTTAACTCGGGTGAGCTATTCTTACACCTCGAGGGTTGAAGAGTCTGCTTTTACATCTCGGCTAAGGGTTGGTTTCACCAAGACTAAACTCAGATGTCTGCCCCACATTTCTTATGAAGGCATCACCTGCAACAGCAGAAATGCTTTCACTTCTAAGAAAGGATCTTAGGGTGTATTTGCTTCTGCATTAAGTCAAAGAAGAAACGATATTTAAAAATAGCCAGTTAAACAACTGTAATGGAACAGTTAACTGAGCCTGGTGTCCTTACTAAAATATTTTTATGCACGCATATAAGCATACTGAGTAAAAACAATATTGAAATTAAAATGTTCTTCCCTGTACTTTTCCTTCAATTTTTCTGTATGTTTTGATAAAACAATACCAGACTGCAAAAGCTTAGAACTGAGCAATAATAGTTCAACAGTCAGTCAAACAACCTTACCATGACAAAATGCCCCTTGTTAATACTGTCCAAGCTATTAATTGTCTAAACTACTAATTGTCTCAGGAGCTTAGCCATTATGACTTTGTGGGCTTTGGTTTTTTAAAGAACTCTGGAAAAAAAACAGTGCCTTTTTACAACCAGCTGTCATAAGCATCAGAAAAAGAAGTATGGGAGGCACCTGTACTCTCACCTTTCCTGAAGATTTGGTGGTATGAGGAGGAGTCACATGGCTCTGATCAGGCTGTGATTTTTTTCCAACATCTGAACTTGCAGTACCATGAGAACATGCATTTTTAGGTACTACAGGCATATGTCCAAAAATCTGGAAATTAAAACGTGGTCAAAGAATAAATTTAGGGCTGGATAGCAATATATAACATGGGCATCCAAGCCAGCTCATCAAGAACACAGGTCTTCTGCTCCATGGGGTCAATCTTGACCATGCCAAAATCAGGCAATTCATTAACAAAAACATTAAGAAAGATAGGGCCCAGAAAGCAGAAACCCTGAGTGAGTTAA